GTTGCAGTTGTTTATTTATTTATTTATTGATTTATATGAATATATTTATCAATCAAATTACAGCCTTCATTTGAATGTATATTTTTGGCAATTTAAACTACAAGCTTCACTGTGCTCCACTAAAGCCTCTAAAAACCTATATTTTCAGTTAAGAGATACTCATTGAAAAAGCCATTTACCATATTGAAGAGAACAAATACCCAAAAACTTACCAAATATTGCATAGAATAAAACTTATATAAATAAATAAGGAACAAAAATAATTAAGATGGAATATGAGCAAATGTATAAATAAATGATAAACTAAGCCAAAAAAAAAAGAAAAGAAAATAAAGAACAAAAATACAAAACAAAAATTAAAACAGCTGACAGTGAGAAAGAGAGAGAGAGAGAGCAAATCTTGTGATAAACGTTGATAATTTTCTTGCATTGTTGATGATTGCCTTACAAGCCAACAAAATGCAACACAACGGCAGCAGCAACAGTAATCTGCAGCAGCAGCAGCAGCAGCTACAACAACAACAACAGCAAAGGTTGCAGTTTAGTAATATGACCGATAATTGGGCTGTTTGGGCCAACAACAATAATAACAGCAACAACAACAACGTCGCCACGCAGCTGCAGCTACAACAACGCACTGCCTTGTTGATAGCGAATAGCAACAACAAACAACAGCTACAGCAGCAACAGCGTCACAACAACAACAATAATATGACAACAACAGTCAATTATAATCAGCACTGGATGCAGCAGCAACAGCAACAGCAACAGCAGCCGCAGCAACAGCAACAATACATGCAACAAACTTACATCAACTACACGCAACAACAACAACAACAACTAGCGCCTGCAACAACAGCGGCTGTCAGCAGCTGCTACTATGCCACGCTGCAGCAGCAACAGCAGCGGCAGCAACATCCGCAATCGCAGCAGCAGCAACAATTTCTGGCGCCCGCGCAACGGCACATGCAACAAACGCAACAGGCGCTGCCACAAGACGCGCAACAGATGCTGCGCGCGCAGTTCACTGCCGCAGCAACAGTGGGCGGCGTGGGAGGTGGCGGGCGCGTGGAACAGCAGCAGCAACAGCAACAGCAGACCCAACAACAGCAACAATGCCATGTAAGTAAATATTATGATGCAGAAAAATAGATAGATATAATACAGAAGTGTATTTTTGTTTAAAATACTTAGTGTAAATCTTGAAATTAAATAATTCATAAAAAAAATTTTTTCGACGGCTGGAGTCGAACTTGGGGTAGCGCTGTTTAACAGGCGTGCGTCTATCCTGTGAGCCAAGCTCTGTGCATGACTTGATGTTGGAGTGAGACAAAAAACACACAAGATTCCAATTAGCTAGAAGAAATGGCAAATCGGCTAATTAGAACTTTTGTTTAATTCTCTTGATTTGGTGCCCGACTTAAATTTCAGCTTTAGCGTTAATTAGAAGCTCAAATGTTTCTAATTTTTCAAAAATAATTAATTACAAACCATACCTAATTACGTTATGACAGCAACACTTAGTGCAGGTTTTACATACACCTAAATTACAGCATGCTATCTCACTCTATATGCGATGACTTTTTTCCGCCTTGCTTTTGCTTTTCATTTTTGCGGTTTTGTGGGTGGAGTCACTTCAAGCAGTAGGCGGAGTCTATGTTTTTGTGTGTGTGTATCGCGTACATCTTGACATTCAAATTGCGTCTTATTGTTAGTTGAATTACAACTGAAAATGCGCTTAGCAAAATGGCGAACGGGGCGTATGCGCAACGCACATTACGCATACGGCGCATGGCCAACTGAATGAAAGGGGAAATGCGCACAAATAAAAAAACAACAACGAAAGAAATTATGTGTATATATTTTTAATGTCGATTTGCGCGCAAATATTTGCTACCACATATATTTCACTGCGGCGTGGGAATGCCGCACCCCAAGCGCAAAAATACGTTTTTTTTTCGCTTTTTTTTAATAAGTTAAATTTGTTTCAACTCGCAAAATGAAGCTAAACGTGGAAAGGGGGAACGAGAACAGCGAACAAAGTTGGCGCATGTGTGTTTAAATTAAGCCAGCAGACAGCTATAAAAATAATAATAAATACAGAAAGCAAAATAAAAAAATTTATATGTATGTAATTAAATATGTTATATTGTATTATATTGAGTCTATGTAGTGTAAGAGTAACAGTCCCTTTGTTCAGATAGAACATTAATAATCATTTGATAATTTTTTGACAGCTATTGAAAAACCACTCCAATTTATAAAGCATGAATTCATTGCGAATTACAAGCGAGTTATATGATAGTTAAAGAGCATAATCCGCAAAATACTTTTGCTTTTCATTTCAAAAAGACTTTCATATTGTGTATTAATAATTTGTAATGTAGGAAGTTTAGCAGCTAAAGCCGAAAAATAAGGCTTTTGTCTTAGTTAACAAATATTTATTCTAGATTCCATCAGCTGCTATCTTTATTGCTCGTTTCGTGGTGTTTCCACACACGCATATATATGTAGCTCATGTTAAATATGAATAGATGTAAGGTCTTTGTCACCCATTTAAAAAATGGCTTTCGTTGCGGCTTTAGGTTAGTTCCAAGCTCCCTTATCACCAAGCTGAAACAACAAAAACAACAACAACAAGCTCGAGATAAGATGACAATTGTAAAGTCACGAAGCTGGCCAGCTTGGCCGTGCCAACTGCCACGCCCTGTTGAACTGGCCTGCCCTGGCATGCCCAGGAAGTTGTAAACTGTTCCAAATACGCTCGAAAAACAACAGCAACAGCAAAAAAAAAAAAAAAAAGCGTAACGGAAATGCCAAAACACAAGCCACTAGAGAGACATGCCCATATTTGACCAACTGTTCCTTATCAACCGGAGGCGAACGTGGTCGCTGTTAAGTAATTAACATAAACAGCGCTGTTAACAAACGGTTAAAGAGGAAGTTAGAAACTGAATTAAATATATTATACATTTCTTATTTTCAGGAAGGAATCTTAAAATTTGATAAAAAAAAAAAAATCTTAAAAACAAAAAAATATGTATAAAAAAAATATGAATGAATCAAATAATTTTGAAAAATCACAAAATTCAACTCCATTCCCAATCGCAATCAAATCAGCACAATCAAAACATCAATTTGAGTGTTTTGTAAAACTTGACCTTTACAGTTTGACCTTCAAAAAATGCTTTTAAAATGCAATCAATTTTAATCTGGCTAATTATTTTTAAAAGGCAATCAAAAAGAAAGTGGAATAGGCAGAAAACCAGTGATTAATCAATATTAATAATATTCATTATCAATATTAACTAAATGGATTAAAGATCAATTCAACCTGGCAAAGTGATTAGAATAAACTGTTGTTTAACTCCAATTAAATTATTTTTGTTATTAATAGGTTAACTAAACTTAAAGGTTTTTCCAAATCAAGTAAACAAATTGTATATCTAGGAACTTTTTATTTCAAATCTGTAATATGATCTAATTACCTATTACTCACTTATGACTCATTATAATGTAAATATTGAGGACTTACAACTGGCTGACTCTGGAAACTCTACCTTTACTCGAAGCAAATCGGTTTGAGCTTGACATTAAAATTTCTTTGTTTCCTTAACTTGAAATTTATTGCAATTTCATTCACATTCATCTCATTCTAGTCGAACATAATCTATAAAGAGTTTACTAAATAGATACTGAAAGTTACCTGATGTTGCCTTTTCATTCGCAAAGGTAAAAAAACCTTTATTGATTTTAAAATTTGATATACAGTCGTATATACCAAGTCCAAACAGAAATTTCGTAAATCCTTTTCTTTAAGCCATACAAAATTGGAAAGAACTATAGAATAACCTATAAGGTAAAAACGAGCTATAAAGTCTTGTAAGTTCTGGTATGATTTTTATAGAGGAAATACCTAACTCTAACTTCCTTATGTGATCCGTTCTTATCAAAGTTTCGTCTGTTTTCGGTATAATGTTATGCAGTCGCTTGTAGTTAACAGTTCAGCTAAGTCTTCTTTTACATACTAAAGCACAGTTTACAGTATGTTATGCATAACACTGTTAAAGTTTGTAACTTACGCCTAAACATATTTCTTATAAACTCTTTTTGATTTCCTCAAAACTTTGTACTTTGCAACATCTGATTCGTATCCGCTGTTATCTGCTGTTTGACAGACTGTTAATGTTATTGTTACAGTTGTGCCTTGCATGTTAATGTTATAGATTGTTGTGAGCTGTTAAACGCCGGCTGTAGCTGGTCCTTGAACTTTGCTTTGCTTTGTTGCCATTGTTGTGGTTGTTGTTGCAGTTGCTTTTAGTGGTTTTATTGTAGATGTTGTTGTTGTTGTTAATTATTACAAAAACAATTAAGCGCTCGAAATGAACAACTTTAAATTGCAGTCGTTTAACTGTTGTTGTTGCTGCTGCTGCTGATATTATTTTTCGTATGCTTTATTTTTAATGAGCGTCACATTTGAGTATTATTTCGTATACCCATTAAAAGTGGTCAAGCTAAGAGTATGACAAGGTATACCGCGGGAAGCAACTAAGAATATATAGCCTGATTTCTAATTTTTTAATGAGTTGAGCTGCTTAATTTAAATGTTTATAATTAATAATCTTTTATTTTTACACAAAATCGACATACATTATATCTTAGCTGGGATCTTAAAAAGCTATTGCATGATAATTCTAAATGAATTCATCTAGGTATACCTCTGAATTCWAATATGCACATATATCATATCATATCACATCCTAACTTGATCATTTCCAGGGTAGCTGCTAGCACGTAATGCTCGCCCAGCAGCTGTCTCGTTATGTTTAGCCCAGTGCAGTCGATTCTACAACAAAGCCATTAAATTCGTTAATCATTTATTGCGTCGCAATGTGCTGCAGCCACGCCCACTAGTACGAGGCCCATTAGCAAAAAATGGAAAAAAAGAGAAATAGAAGAAAATCAGCTGTTTCTGTGTCTCAGCCTCAAGGTCTGGTCTTAAAGCATTCGAATTTGATAATTTGTTTTAATTTATAATTTCGATTCAAATGCTGCTAAACGTCTGCGAAAGTCCAAAGCAAATTATGTCCCTGAAACAGATTTGGCTTTTATTTTTACACTAATCAGCAAAACAATTGAATTTGGCTTAAAATAGATGCCAACTTTTGTCAGTTGCATTTAACAAAAGTTGTTTTCTCCCGCAGAGGATGACTAAGCCTCGTCGATTGGAACGGAAATAGCGCATTAGTCAGCCCTTTGAAGAGATATATGTACATATATTATAACTGTTAGATCGTCTTGTTCTAGACGACTTTAAGCTATAATATGCATATGTGTAGCATAGTTTTAGGTTGGCCAGACTGTGATGTTGTCGTCGAAGTTACGGGCCGGAAATTCCGTGATTTCGATGTTCCGATGTTCGTCAACAGAATTCCACGAAGTTCTATAGAAATTCCAAGTAATTCTCTATGTCGAAAGCAATAGCCACAATAATGTGGAACCGATGTCACATATGACGTAGGCGACGACAATGGAAATGACGAGAATAGCGACGATCGTGACGATCGTCAAATAAACAATTAAACAAGACAGTAAGAAGAAGACCCTATCTCTCGTCAGATACTAAAAATTGAGTTCATAAAATGCGCTAGATTGGCGTTAGATAGATAGTATAGAAAAGTGAGAGGTAACTGCTTTCATAACAGCTTAAACTGCGATTATGTAAAAAAGTCAAATAAGTACAATTATATACATGGATACTTTCAGCCCTTATTCGATATCTAAAATGGATATATAGATAGTATAGAAAAGTGAGCGGTAATTGCTGTCACAACAGTTACACTGACAGTTATGTAAATGAGACGAGCCTAAATAATAATTGCAGATTACAGGGTATTTATATCTATATTTAGAGCCCCTTTAGGTTATGAAGAATTTGACCCTGTCCCTATATAAATATAAGTCTATACTCTAAGCTTTTTTATATTGTTTTACAAATGTGAATAATACCATACAAATTATAATCAAAGAAGACAAGTAAATATTATCATGGAGAGCTAGAGAGATATTATTATTTGTTATCATCTTTAGCTTGATTTGTAAAACGCATTACAAATGTAAAG